TCCTGATCTCAGGGAGAAGGTGCTCAGTCTTCCACCATGAAGTGCAATATTGGCTGGAGGGTTTTTTGTACACGTCCTTTATCAAGTAGAGGAAGTTTTCCTCTATTGCCAAGAGTTTCCTCTATTTCCAAGAGTTCTTCTCATGAATGGATAGTGAAATTTATCGTGTTGTGGGGTCGAACCCTGGGTTCAAAATAAGACCACTGGAGGCTGATAATTTATTAAAAAAAAGCAAACAAGATTTATTGAACTGTCCAGGGCAGCCGCAAGAGCCACACGCAGGCGGACCCTACACGACTGTGCCGCTTTAGGGGCAGGTAGTTATTTTTAAAGGTTCTGAGAAGGAAAACCCCCATTCTGCAACAAACTTCTTTGGAATTTTCTGCTGTTCTTCCTAGGTAAAATGTTGCTTTCTAGTTTGCTTTAGCCCATTTGAAGAATGATGAAGATAAACTTAGCTGTCTGACCTTGCAGGCCAGAGACCAGATATATCCACCATGCCAGGTGCATTTTTTTTTTAATTGGATAGAACAGCATTGTTTTCGAGGCCAGCATCGAGATAACCACTAAGTGTACACAGGGCTGGTTCTTTAATGAAAAAGAAAGTTCTGCCTATAACCTTGCCCAGAACTTGAACTCATCCTCCCTAAGCCCATTGCGCGATGAACAAAGCAAGTAAGTGAAGGTCGAAGTCAGAATAGTAGGTTTAAAATTCAAACAGTAGTTTTTACCCAAGTATGATTGCTACCATATTTCAATCGGATGCTTTTTTTTTCTTTTTTGCATTGATTGATATGATTACATGATTTTTCTTTAGCCTATTAAAATGGTAGATCATATGGATTTCTTCTCAAATATTGAACTAGCCCCTACTTCCCTGGAAGAAACCCCACTTGGTCATGGTGTATAATCCTTTGTATATATTGCAGAATTAGTTTTGCTAATATTTTAAGGGTGCTTATGTTTGTGTTTGTAAGGAATATCTGTAGTTATTTTAAATAATGTCTTTAGTTTGCTGTGGAACTACTGGCTTCATACAATGAAATAGGACGTTTTCTCCTTTTCAATTTTCTGAAATCAGTTGCTTAGAACGGATGTTAAGTGTTTAAATGTTTTGTAGAATTATCCAATGAAATTTTCTGGGCCTGGAAATTTTTCTCCTGAGCGTTTTAAAATTATAGGCCATTAAAAATTTTTATCTCATATGGGTAATGGGTAATGGAGGTAGTTGTGTTTTTCAAGAAATTGGTCCATTTTATCAAAGTTGTGAAATTTACATACCTGGATCTGTTCATAGCATTCCTTGTTGTCCTCATGATGTGTGCAGATATTCTCTGTTTTATTTCTGATATTGGTGTTTTCTCTCTCTCTCTTTTTTTTTTTGCCAAGCTTGTACAAAGTGTCAATTTTTAAAAATCTCTCCAAAGAACCAGCTCTTTATAAAAATTGATTTTTTCTGTTGTCTTTCTGTTTTTTAATTTTATTAATTTTTTTATTATTAATTTTTCCTTTTGTTTGCTTTGGGTTTGTATTGCTCTTCTTTTTCTAGATTCTTGAAGTGAGAGGTTAGACTATTGACTTGAGACTTTAAATTTTAATGTTTACATTTAGCGCTATACATTCCCTCTTAGTTCTCCTTTGTGTCCCCCCAATTTTATGTTGTATTTTCATTTTCATCCAGTTCAGTGTATTTTAAATTTCCTTTGAGACTTCCTCTTTGACCTAGGGATTGTATAACAGTCTCTTGCCTAGTTTCCAAGTGTTTAGAGATTTATCCCATATTTTTCTGGGTTTTATTTCTATTTTTGTTCCACTGAAATCAGAGAATACACTTTGTATGATTTCACTTATTTAAATTTGTTATGTGTTTTTCTATGGCCTAGGATATGGTCTTATTGGCATATATTTTGTGGGCACTTTATTTATTTATTTATTTATTTGCCTTTGATCATATTTTTATTCAAAATTAGCTGTCGAAAGTAAAGTGACTTGACCGTTATGGAATAAACAATTTAAGTTTATGCCACGGGCTTCTTCTCTTCTGTGGTGGGTTTCTTTTCTGCAGGCTTCTTCTCAGCTGCTGGTTTCTTGGGAGCTGTAGCCTTTTTCCCCACCAAAGGCTACTTCTGCTTCTTAGGGCCCACAGCCTTCTTTGCTTTCTTCTTGTGGGCACTTTAAAAGAATGTACATTCTGCTGCCATTAGTGGGATGTTCTGTAAAGTCTATTACAGTCTGTTGATTGATGATTGTGTTCTACATCCCTGCTGCTTTTCTCTCTAATTATTCTACCATTTGCTGAGGAAGGGGTGTTGAAATCTTTAACCACAATTGTGGATTTGTCTATTTCCTCTTTCATTTCTATCAGACTTTTTCTTCACATATTTAACAGCGTTGTTTTATACACATTAGGATTGCTGTATCTTGTAGGTGGATTGACCTTGTTGGTCTATGGTTTCCTTTCTTTTAGGGTAGGTGTGCTGCTAACAAATTATCTTAGTTTTTCTTCATCTGAGAATGCCTTGATTTTCTCTTCATTTCTGAGGAATATTTTCACTGTGTATAGTATATGGGTTGTGGTTCTTTCTTTTTTATTTAATGTTTTTTATTGATTTTAGAGAGAGAGGAAAGGAGATGGAGAGAGAGAGCTAGAAACATCGATGAGGAAAAAATATCAACTGGTTGCCTCCTACTGGGAATGGAGCCTTGAAAATCTGAGCATGTGCCCTGATTCCAAGAGGAATCCAACCAGTGACTCTCGGTACCTGGAAGGACCAAGAATGGAAGGGAGAGGAGAGAGAGAGAGAGAGAGAGAGAGAGAGAGAGAGAGAGAGAGAGAGAGAGAGAGAGAGAGAAAGATGGATGTGAGAGAGACATCAATTAGCTGCCTCCCAAACATGCCTTCAAACTGGAGACCTTTTTGGGGCGGACGCGCTAACCATTCAGAACACCGGCCAGGCTTTTTTTTAGTCTATTTTTATGTTGTTCAGGTCGGGTCATTTCTGTTGTTTTATCTTCCAGTCACTGATTCTTCCTTGTGTTCCCTCCATCACTGAGTTTTTGAACTGAGATCTGTGTTTTTCAGTTCTAAAATTTCCACTTGGTTCTCTTTTATAACTCCCATTTCTTTTATGAGGCTTTATAATTTTTCATTGGTTTCAAGCACATTCACAGTTGCTCATTGAAGCACATGATGTCTGAGTAAAACCTTTGTCAGTTATTCTGACATTTCTATTGTGTCAGTGTTGGCATCACTTGATTGCCTTTTTTTATTCCAGTTGAGATCTTCCTGGTTCTTGATATGCTAAGTGATTTTCAGTAGATACCTAAACATGTTGGGTGTGGTATAGTGAGCCTCTGCATCTTATCTAAATCTCCTGTTTTAGTGACTTTTTCTGACACCTCCCTGGCAGAAGACTTGCTACTGCTGGTGGGGATAGAAGTTCAGGTCCTTGATTTGGTCCTGTTGACACCTGAGGTGGGATGGGGTTTTCACTTCCCACTAGGCCTCCTCAGGATAAATTTCTGTTTGGGAGGGGTAAGAGTGCTCCCCATGTGTCTTCCCCAGGCATTGAGGTAGAGGTGGGCGTGGCCACCTTATGGATGGGTGGTTGTGAAAGTTCTGACTCACTGCCACTCCTCTGATACTACTTGTTAATGATTTTTGCTAAATTAACATTTGTTAAGTGGAGCACAGGGCGCAGGACGCAGAGCTCAGCCAGAGATTGCTAGCGAAATTGAAATAAAGTTTTTTTTTTCACAGGTCCTGGAGGAGATACCTGGCACTGCTCCTGGGGCCACATGGGGAGGTCAAGGCAGGGTGCATGCAGACAGGGGGCAGGACCTGGGGCACTTGCCTTTATTAGGGTCTGTGGGTGGAGTGCTTTGGGGTCCTCAGGCTAGGGCCTGCTGGTCAATTCAAACCAAAAGTTCCAGGTTCTGGGAAGCCCCAGGGGCTGCGCAAGGGAAGGCCCGGATGGGATACCGTTGCTCACAAGGACTGCTGGGGGAAGCATGGTGACTCTGTGGGCTGCTGCCTAGGGTATGTACTTGCATGAGGGGGCAAGTGTCAGTTTAAGGTCCCTGCAGGCCGCTTGGCCAAGCACAATGGGATGTCCAGTAGCAGTACGATGGGTGACCTAGCTGCACTCCTGGCACCAGTGTGGAAGGGGAGGGGCCTTACCTTAAGCTCAGTGGAGCGGAAGGCTGAGCTCCCCAGGTGGTCTCCACTGACACTGGGTTTCAAGAGTCAGCTCCCTGCTCTGCCTTCTCTCACACTGCCCTGAGGGTGGGTGAGGTGGGGGTCTCTTCATCAAAGCCGGTGAAGGAATCTGCTCCAGCTCACCTTTGCTAGTGTGGGTGGGCGGCAGGCTCTCCTGTAATTTCTCCCTGGAGTAGAGTGCTTGTTGTCTGAAAGTTTTCTGTCTTGCTCGACTGCCCCTTCCCTGTTTCTGTGGCTAGGAAGGGCAGGCTTTTGCTGTTTTTCACCTGCTGTTGTTCACACTGACTTCTTCCAGGGCTCACCATTGTGTCTTTCCTTGGGTCTAGAGGTCCCTAGCCAGTCTGCCCCCTTCTCTCCACCTTTCTGATCTTACGTTTGTTTTATATGTCGTGTCCGGGATTTTTAGTTGCACTTAGCAGGAAGTATAGGAAAAAGTACATCTCCATCTTCTCAGAAGCAGAAGTGTAGGGCAGTGCGGTTTGAAGTTTATTATTATTTTCTCTGAATTACATTGTATTGATATCCTGATTTGTAACTGAAAGTTGTGGCTATAAAAGTTGAATAAAGACTCATTGTTCCCATTCTCTTCAGGAGAGTGTTAGTTCTGTTGTGGCTATTTGAAAGCTGTTTCATGTGGCTGAAGCTTATTCCCTACCAAATTTAATAGCAGGATTTTCTCTTCTTAGGAAGCTAAGAGCTCAGATACTTAATTGGTTTGGCTATTAAAGATGAGTTCCAGTAGGGCTTAATCAAACTTTGGTTAGTGCTTAGTAAAATGTACATTTTTAAAATACTGCCTCTAGAAACAGTGTATTTTAAAATATATTTTTATTGACTTCTGAGAGAAAAGGAGAGAGGGGAGAGAGAGAAACATCAATGATGAGAGAGAATCATTGGTTGGCTGCTTCCTACACACCCCACACTGGGGATTGAGCCCGCAACCCGGGCATATGTCCTGACTGGGAATTGAATTGTGTCCTGACTGGGAATTGAATTGTGGCTCATAGGTCAATGCCCAACCATTGAAACACACTGATCAGGCTAGAAATAGTTTATTTTAAAAATCATCCTTTCTGGGATAATGCCAAAAGTAAGTTTCAAATTTATCTTTCTTAACAGTGTTTTCTGATTATATGTAAAAGCACTGGGAGTGTTGCAAGGGAAACTGGTTTCTATTAGAGCCAAATACATTATCTGTAATATGATAGGAAGCTCTTGATGGAAATGACAAGTCTTGGCTCTGCTAGAATCAGCAGCATTCTTCTTTTTATTTTATTTTAATATTTTATTAATTTTTTTTCACAAAGAGGAAGGGAGAAGGATAGATAGTTAGAAACATCGATGAGAGAGATACATTGACAAGCCGCCTCCCGCACACTCCCCATTGGGGATGTACCCGCAACCAACATACATGCTCCTGACCAGAATCGAACCTGGGACCTTTCAGTCCGCAGACCGATGCTCTATCCACTGAGCCAAACCGGTTTTGGCAGCAGCATTATTCTTAACTCACACATCCTCCATGTCTTCATCTGTAAAATGGGGACAGCTATACTGACTTTGCTGATAGTTAGTGAGGATTTCTGATGATGTACCTGTAGCATTTAGCACAATGTTTGACCATGCTGGGTAGCTATTATACAATCATTAATGCAATTTATTAAAGCAGAAACCTTGAGGCAAACTCATAACAAAAACAGGGTTCAGACCTTTCTCTGTCCTTACAATAAGGTTACAGAGTTGAGTCTGGCCTGTCTTCATTGACTCCAATATAATTTGTCAGAATTTATCTGTGGTTTCTTTTAACATGGATTGGTGTAATAAGAGACATTTGCCTAGTAGTGAGGCTTCACTGTAATTGTAGTCTATATTTTAACAATAAGATTACTTTTTAAGAAGCTTTAGTTTAAATAAAGACACATAATAGGAATGTCCCTGTGCCCGCCCATCCCTCTGTAAGAACACCTCTCACTTCTACATAGGACCTTCCAACTTGGCCTTTCTATTAGTTTCCTGGGGTTGCTGGAATGAAGTATCATGTACTGAGTGGCGTAAAACAAGAGAAACTTATCATCTTAAAGTTCCAAAAGCTCCAAGTCTCAAACCAAGGCGTCAGCAGAGTTGGTTCCCAGCCTGTCTCCTAGCTTCTGGGGCCCTGGGCATTCCTTGGCTTGTAGACACATCACATCCATCTTCACGTGGCCATCTTCTAGGACACCAGTCATAGTGGGTCCCTCATAGGACTTTACCTTAACTGATTACACCTTCAACATCCACCGTATTTCTAAATGAGGCCCCATTCTGAGGTACTGGGTGGGGACAGCTATACTGACTTTGCTGATATTAACTGTTTCAACTATCTTTTTGTGTGTGTGTGTGTGGATAGAGGGAATGGGACACAATTCAACCCATATCAGCATTCTTCTAAACACTGGAAGCAGATTGGTGTTAAAAACAGTCCTTGTCCTTGGTAGTTTAGCTCAGTGGATAGAGCGTTGGCCTACAGACTGAAGGGTCCAGGTTTAATTCTGGTCAAGAGCATATGTCTGGGTTACAGGCTTAATCCCTAGGAGGCAGCCTATCAGTGAATTTCCCTCATTGTGGATGTTTCTATCTCTCCCTTTCCCTTCTCTGAAATCAATAAAAATATATTTTAAAACAAACCAACAAAAAACCATAGTCTTTACCCTCATGCATTACTGTCTCCTGATGGGGGCAACAGTGAGCAAGAGAATAACAGGAAGTGACATTTCCATTGAGAACAGGAGGATCCACCTTCAGAAAAATCAAGGTTTCCAGCATTGAACTGAAAGAAGACCAGTGTCACTGTTGGGTAGTGATTTGGGGGAGACGGAGTCTGGGTTCAAATCACAGAGATTTGCTGGTCGTGATAAAAGATTGCACTTTAGTTCAGAGGCTGTGGGGGCCTGTGGAGAATCTAAGGAGGGGAGAGATACTTGGATTTATATTTTCAGAAGATCACTCTTGATGCTGTATACCACATTGATAAAGGGGCTGGACAGTAATGGGAAGACCAATTAATTGGGAGCCTTTTACATTATTCAAGAAAGAGACAGAGACTAGGGTGGCAGTAGTAAAGTTGGGGAGAAATGGAAAATTCAAGATACATTTGGGGGAAAGAGCTGATAAGATTTCTGATGGATTAGCTAGAGAGTAAGAGAAAGATATTTAAATATCTTCAAAAACGTTTTTGCTAATTGATTAACTCAGAGGATGGTTGTATAATTACCAAGACTGGGAAATCTGCTTTGTGGTTGAGGTCAGATTTAAACTGCCAAGTTCAGTTTGGGATATGTTAAATGCCTTGTGGTAGTTAGTAAAACAAATCGTAATGTATGAGTTTGAACTGAAAGTTGAGAATTTACTTTATTTATTTGTTTGTTTGTTTATTCCTTACCTGAGGATCTTTTTCCATTTATTTTTCAGAGAGAGTGGAGGAGAGAGAGAAAGACAGAGAGAAATGTTGATGTGAGAGAAACACATTGATTGGTTGCCTCCTGCATGTGCCCCTATTAGGGCCCGGGCTGAGGTGGAGCCTGAAACAGAGGTACGTGCCCTTGACTGGCATTGAACCTGAGACCCTTCAGTCCACAAGCCAAGGCTCTATCCACTGAGCCAAACTGGCGAGGGCTGGGAATGCATTTTAGAGAATGGGTATCACACGTATGGCTATGAGAGATGGGTGTGGAGGTGGAGGTGTGCCTCTCGGGGGAGAGTGTAAGGAGAGAAGCCAGATGTAGTACTGACCTGGGGGAGCACTAATGTTTCAGCATCTAGAAACTTGGGTTCCTCTTGTTTGGGACTCTGCACTCCCTGGATTTGTAAATTTATTTCTTTCACCAGAAAGGGGAAGTTTTCTGTCATTATTTCTTCAAATATGTTTTTAATATCTTGCTCTCTCTCCCTCTCTTATCTCCTGCTGGCACCTCCAGAATGCGAATGTTGGTATGCTTGAAGTTGTCCCAGAGGCTTCTTACATTGTCTACGTATTTTTGGATTTTTGTTTGTTTGTTTGTTTTGCTCTTCTAATTGGGTGTTTTGCTTCCTCATGTTTCAGATCATTGATTTGATTCTTGGACTCCTCTACTGTACTGTTGAATCCCTGTAAAATGTTCTTTATTTCAGTTAGTGTATGCTTAATTTCTGACTGGTCCTTTTTCACATCTTTGACTTTCTCACTAAGATAACATGAAAGTCTCATGAAGGTCCTTGAGTAACCTTATAACCATGGTTTTGAACTCTGTATCCAGTAGTTTGCTTGCTTCCATTTCTTTCATTTGTGACATATCTCTTTGTCTCCTCATTTTGGCTGCTTCCTTGTGTTTGTTTCTATGTATTAGGACTGTGGTCAGCAACCAATGGTGGTCTGTGAGGTCTGAAAGTTTGGCGACAACTGACTTAAGGAAACATTTGGAGCAGTGCTTGACAACCGGTGGTCCATGGTTGACCACTGGTGATCATGAGGTCTGAAAGGTTGGCAACTGCTGTATTAGGAAGAGCCGCTGTAGCTCCTGGAAGTGGAAGAGTGACCTTGGTAGTAGATGTCCTGTAGGTTCCCAGTGGCTCAGCCTCCCCAGTCACCTGAGCTGTATATATATTTTTTATTTTTATTTTTTTTCTGCTCTGATTGGGTGTTTTCTTCTACCTTGTCTTCCAAATCACTGGTTGGATCCTCTGCTTTATCCTGCCTACTGTTTATTCTTGTGTGTTCTTCATTTTAGATATTTTTATTCTTTATTTCTGACTGTTGTTTTTTATAGTTCCTCTGTCGTTTTTTATGTTTACATCCCTTAGGTTAAATTGTCATTGATTTCTCCAATCTTACCCTAAATTTCTTGAGTGTTCTTATAACCATTGTTTTGAACTCTAAACTGGTAAGTTGCTTGCCTCCATTTTGTTTAGTTCTTTTTCTGGAGATTTCTCCTGTTCTTTCATTTGGGGCATGTTTCTTTGTCTTTCCATTTTAGCTGACTATGTGTTTGTTTCTATGTGTTGGGTAGATCTGCTGTGACTTTCAGTGTATGAAGGGTGGCCTTATGTGGTAGGTGTCCTGTAGGACCCCACTGCACAGTCTCCTTGATCATCTGCTCTGGGTGCTTCAGGAATGTCCCTTGTGGGGTTATGTGGGCCCTCCCATTAGAACTGAGTCTTGATTACTGTTGGCCCATTTATATTGGGGTCAATTCTCAGGCTGGCTAATGGTGAGGATTTACATCCCCAACCACAGGTGTGGAAGCTGCTGTACAGGTGCTGACCATTCACTGAATTTGCCTCAGGAGAGTCTGTTGCCTGATAGATCTCTCTTTGGATATTCCAATTGTGAAGCTAATTGGATCCTGCTCTGATGTTGTTTGATGCTGGCCAGTGGGTATGCTGGTTCTGGTGCCTCTTGTGAGGGACTTTAATGCAGATCAATGTCAGATGCTGTCTGTGACTGGCCCTTGTCAACATGTTTGGAGCTATAATGTGATCCACAGTTTGTGGCTTCCTCTGTTGCACTTGGGTTTACACTGGAAGGATTAAACGGCATACCAAGGCTCGCTTTTATCAGCACCGGACCTGGGGGCTGGTCAGCAAAAGTCCCTGGGAACCCCCAGGTCTACTTCCAGATGCCTCTGCCTGCTGGGTACCTAGTAGGCTCAGTCACTGAGGGAACTTCTGGCGGTGCTCAAGTTGCACTCAGTGGTTTTCAGTGAGTTAATGGGTAGGGGTGAGAGGTGTTCTCCAGATCAATAGTCGTTCAGTCTTGGTGCCAGTGCAGGGTCTGAGGCCAC